TATATTATGAGAATTGGATACATCTATCAAATTATATCTTGTCATACCCTTTGAAATTTATATAATGATGATGCATCTGTTACTTGCATGCATGACAGATTTCATTTCTCATGCTAATTGGTGATCTTATCTGAATCTTGATTTTGCTAGTTGGTCAATCCTCGTGGATTTGAATTTTGTCTAGAATCTTAGATTGAATGTATCAACCATAGAATTGGCTGAAAGAGAAAGTTAATTGCCAACTACTTGACCTTTCTCACCAAGTTCTTACTTTTTATTTTATCTTAACAGATTGGTAGACCGAAAAGGTGGCCTGTTTGAAGTTCAAGTGGCAAGGTTCCCCGTAGAGGTGCAAGATTATATTTACTGATTGAACTTTTCATGGTTCTCCTGAAGCACCGGAACAGAACTGATTCTAAACGTCCTCTGTTAATCAGTATGAGAAGACCCTTTCAGCCTCATACTTAAGCTACAAAAAAAGTCACGATCCGTTCTTTGTTGTTTAAGTAGGTTTTGTGATTTGGTATGAATTTATTCACTTGATATCCAGTGATATTTTTTTACATATCCCTTTCGGTTTATGTGAGCATGCCCAAGAATTGTTTTTTCTTTTTGATAGAAAGAGAGAAATAGATAGATACTACATAGAAATTACAGTAGTTCTGGGAAACAAAGTCCCAATAGAGCATTATACAAGAATTATGTTTGGTTGCTTCAAGAGAAGCTATTTTAGGACCAGGAGCAAACACATGCACTGAACAGAGCAAACTGGCACTAAACCCCGGCTATTTACTTCAAAAAATATCAAATGGACACTTATAGATTACAATATTTGGTTTTAAGTCCAACTTTTGTAGGTTGAAACAGTTTGAATTTTCAAACACTATTTATTGGATTGCAAGAAGGTGCTTCTAATTCAACGACCCATGTTTTGCATTCAAGTACTTTTTTTGTTTATTTATTTTGGTTGCAAAATTTAAATTTTAATTGGAAAATATTATAGTTATAGTATTTGTGATATTATAAGATATGTTATTATATATTTAATTCCTTTTACTTAAGAGTTGATTTGTGATATTATATGTATTTATTTATTTAATTTTACAATTATACTTATTTAACGTCATATTATAATTATAAATTTATAATTTTACATAATATTATACTTATAACATTACTTATTTTAATACTAATAATTTATTAGTTTGAGTGGAAAAGGTTTAATTTTCTTAAATAAGATTTTGAATTTGAATCTTATGAATGGGTAACCAAGTGTTAAAAATGCTTCTTTTTATGAAATTTGATATGGTTTTATTCCAGATTAAATTTGACTCAATATTAATTAGGGTTTAATATAGTTTTTTTTTTTTTTTGAATACCAAGGGTAGTAAAAAAAATAAATTACTTATTTTAATTAATCAAAATTGGCATTAAAATTAAAAATGACTCGTGATAAACATCTAGCAAAAAAAAATCGAACTGAATAGTTCAGGACAAGACGAAACTTTCCTGCTTTTAATGCATACCGAACGGGCCCTTAGCCTATGGTGTAAATCCAACTAGTATTGGATACTGATTCACTGAATCTGAGCAGAGGCTCCTCTCCTCCCTCCGTCTTCTTACTGCGTGATATCCGTCGTACGGAGGAAGAAGAAACTGATGAAGCAGAAAGAAGGCAGAGAGATGGGGTCGGAGTTGGTGGCAATGGGAGATCGTCAAGGTTTCCTGTGCCAGCAAAAGTCTTAGGAATTCTGCCTCTGATGATTCTCTCTGGTCCAAATTCTGCTTTGATGAGCTTCATCCATCATTATCAACCCCTCAAGACCCTTTGGGAAACCCAGTTCCCTCTTTCAAGGTAATTGGAAGAAAAAGGGTATTTTTTTAAAAAAATTTGTTTCTCAATTTACCACTCTCATTTCCATAGCTTTATCATGTTACATTGTTAATTTTTCACCTTTTTAGTTTCTTTTTATTTTTTTTATTTTTATTTATTTATTTATTTTTTAACATTGATTTGTGATTGAAATTTGAAACCGGTGATTTTGGAATGATTTGGGGTGAATTGGATGTTAGGTTTTTGGAGAAGTAGAGAGAAGTGCTTCAATTTGGTTTGTTTATAATGTATGAATTAAGTAGAGATTAATAAGGGGAGAATAATTCCTGAAAAATGTTTGAAGACTAGAAGTGTTGGTAATGCTCTCTGGTTGTGTATTTTCATGCAGCTTATCAATTATGTAGAGAACTGAGAAGCTTTTACTATGTACCCATACCCACTTGTTCTTCGAGTGAAAAGATGTCAGGGAAAGGATAAAAGCTGATTGAGCCAGATGAAAAATTAGAGAGCCTTCTAAATGTGAAATTGCCTCTTCCTACTAGGGTTCTCTATCGTTTTCACGATGGTCAAGAGATGCCTGGCAAGGAGTCAACAGTTCACTTTTATTGGGAATTATAGGTGGCTACTTTGTCTATAACCTTTCGGTTAATGTCTACTTGTTATCTCATAGTCAGGTGATTGTTAAGATGAGTAATGTATTACGTTGCTGGGTTTTATCATGCAGAACTAAGTACATTGTCATTGTTGCTTCCTTGACTACTAGTATGAGTTTTTTTTTTTTCTCTCAACTGTAATAATGGCCAACTCTATGTCAGTGCGAGGCATCTTCTGACTGATGGAGCAATGGTTCAGTGTGTTCCAAATTTGCTCATTTGATCCATGCATGAATCCAGTGGGGATCAATGTCAGGATGCCATGCTGCTATGGTTAGAAGAACATGGTTGCCGCTTGGAAAGTGACATTATCAGAGTTCGTGAACAAGAAAATATCAGTGGCATCAGCCTTTTTCTGAAGTTTCCTCCCTTTTATGTTCAGTAGCAGTGATAAAGGGTGTTCAGGTAAGTAAAAATGCCAATGCTACATGGGCTAGTTTAATACCTTTATTTAGTAAATCAGGACAGTTGTAAGATTTTAAATTTTACACCACACTTCTTCATTGCTGTTATTAGAGAAACTATACATATGTTTAAGTTCTGAAAAGCTTCTCTGCCCTATAGATGGGTGATGACCCTTTTCATCCTGTCATTTCTATATATGCTTTTCCACCATTGTTATTTGCAAGATCTGCAATAAGTTCCATTTTCATCATTATTTTCTTTCTAAGAGTCCTTATTATGTTCTTTCCTACTCCAGATTTGTGTGTCTGCTGTCTTTGTTCCAGAATTCACCTTCCTTCACCTTCAAGACAACTTTGAGAGGAATGTTTTTGCTTATTCAATCTGCATGTCCCTCCTTCCTGAAGGTTGTGTAATCATTGGAGTGACCTTCAATTCCTGCTAACTTTATTGGAGACACTGGCTCATTTGTTATGATGCTATGGTATCCGATTTTTATGGAGAGGCATTGATAGGAAAGGTAATATTGGCACAATTAATATTCATCATGTGTTGGAAAAATTAATGAAAACTTTCTGTGAGGGGAAGGTAATGCTGATATTTCAATAAAAACTTTCATGTGTTGGAAAAATTAATTTCCACCAGTGAAGAACTCCATCTTTCTTATCCTTTTCGTGACATTTTGGTTGCCTAAGGTTTTATCAAAATTAGAACTTGCAATGTCTCATCTTCCCAATTATCTTGTAATCACCAGACCGCTGTAATATTCATCATTTACTAACATGTTAATTAATAGGGAAATTTCATCTCTGGAACTAAGGCTGTTAATCTCACTCTTTTTATATCCTTGTAGTTCCCTCTCTTGCGCTTTAGTGAGAAGAATTTGTTTACGAGAGATGGGAATATCTACCAGCTTTCTCAGGTTTGGCTGAAGGCTATTTAACGTTTGTCCCTGGCAGGTAATCTGCATTATATTTTACATGTTTAAGTGGTGATATAACTACCAAAATAACTAATAAATCTTGTTACACCCTTAAAAAATTATGTAATGATGCATTTATGACGTGCATGGATGAGATATTTTATCTGCTTTTACTAATCGATGTTCTGATCTGGATCAGTATTGCTTTTACTGGCCAGTCCCCCCGGGTTTGAATTCTGGCTTGAATGTCTAATGATGTAATGATGCATATTTATCATGCATGGACGAGAGATTTGATATGCATTTACTAATTGATGATCTGATCTGGATTGGTATTACTTTTTCTGGTCAGTCCTGGTTTTGAATTTTGGCTTGGATCTCTTTTCTCTTTTTTTGGCGCTAGAATCTTATTATGAATGCATTAGCCATTAGCATTGGCCCCAAAAAAAGAGGAGGATCTCCGACTACTTGACCTTTCTAATCATCTCATTCTCTTTTCATTTAGGTTGGTAGACTGTAAATGTGACCCATTTGAAGTTCAGCTGGCAAGCTTCCCCCTACAGCTGTTGGATTATGTTTTCTGGTAGCCTTTTGCATGGCTCTCCAGAAGCACCATAAAGGAACTGATAATGAAGATCTCTGTTAATCAGTAGGAGAAGACTTTTTTGAGCTTGACTTTCTGTTTACGTGTTTCCTTGATTCCCAGATTGCTTGTCTTAAATCATATGCAAAATGATACCATGCTTCTGTATTTGAATGGTTGTGGCGTTTGAATGCCTTAAATAAATAGTAATACTCAATTGTATTCAATTGTGACTGAATTATAAACATGAATTAGTAGACAAGGAACAATTATTATTTCCTATCTGAAGTTTAAGTTGTGTAGTTTGGACGGTATAATATTTTTTTATTATCATATAGCTTTTCTTGTAGAAGATTAATTTACTTTCTAACCCTCTGGAAAAAGTATAGTCAAAATCACTTTAATTATGCACATTCGAACCCTAATGCATACATTAGCTAAGCTATAAGCGTGGTACCTCCGGCATGAACAAGTAATTTAAAGACATTT